ATTTTAAAAGACTTCATAAAGATGTTAAAATAATAACTTCCTCATTGTCATATCATATGTTTTTGTTTGAAATATTGTCCTAAAAGGTGAACACATTCGCAAGTTTCTATATGTTAAAATTAAAAAAAAAATTGTTTATTTTATTCATAACGTTTCACCAGTTGAAATACAAGAACTGACGCTAATATAATTTTATTTTAAAAAGGATCACGTGAAAAACTATAACAATAGTGATCTACAAGCATGCGACTAAGCAATTTCAAACAATAAAGTACTTTATCAATGAACTGTCAAATTTAGGTATCTATATAAATATAATAGTACTGTCTGTTGTATTTCCGTGTAACTACTTCGCAGGGTGTCGATGGATCTTCACCAAAATTGGTATGTAGGTCCACTAGGTCCATGCGGGGGTACACACAAATTTTCAGAGTTGTATTTTGTGGTTATTATGGGCATTTTCGCGTTTTTTACCACTACTTCGCCCTTTGTTGATTGAACTTCACCAAATTTGGTATGAAGGTTTGCTGGGTCAATGCAAAAGCACCTGCAAATTTGCAGTTCCAGATTTTGTCTTACAGCTTTTATTGGCGTTTTGGCTTTTTTCACAATTACATAAAAGGGAAGCAACTCTTCATGTTCTAAGATAACCTTTCATTAATCATGAATTTACATAACTTCCGTCCTGGGGACGGATACACCAGCTAGTAATAAATAAAGCTTTTAAGCCTGAGTCTAAGTATTGAAATTCGTTCTATATAAAAGAGAAAAGAGAGCGATTAAAATAGATATAAATGAACACCTTTGTATTTGTAAGGAATATAGTTTTTTATTATTATTACTAGGACTTCTTTTATTTTTCGTCTATTAATGTTGTCTTCTCTGTTGAGAATTTTTACCTGAGAATAATCAGAAAAATTATTGTTTCTATACATGTGTTCAAAAACATGAGATGGAGATTTTAAATGTCCACACAAACGAGTAAAGAGTTATCTTCTTGTCTCACCAATATAACAGTTTTTGCAATCCGTACATTCAATTGCATACACATTTTCTGAATTATCATTATCTATTATATATATTACACAGAAATTTGACAGTTCCTTGATAGATTACTTTATTGTTTGAAATTGGTTAGTCGTATGCTTGTAGATTACTACTGTTATATATTTTCACATGATCCTTTTTTAAATTTAATTCTGATTGTCTCAATTTCTGTATTTCACCTGATGATGCCAGGTAAACCTGGTGAAACGTTGTGAATAAAATAAACAAAAGTTTTACTATGTCCAACAGATAAAAACTTGTGTGAATTTAACAAAATACAGTCCTGTCTAATATTTAATTCATGTCACTTTTTGGAATTATTATAAAGTTTATCGTCATTGTGAATATATTTACAACCATTTTGGCCTAAATCTAAATCTAACAAGAACGCCTCGTAACAGCAAGAACAGTGTGTATCTAAGGCTAATAACAACAACTTCAATCCAAGCTACTCAAGAAAACATACAATATCACTGGAATGTTACTACTCTTCATATGACTGACTTTATCTGTTTTTATACTTGTAGTGTTTTCACAACTCATGCCTTCCTTCAACTATGATTCTTCTGTGAAAAATACCATTAGTCGTCTACGAAAAATTAACTTGTTAATAAGGAAACCAAGTTAGATATTCTCTTTCCATAAAAGTGTTGGGATCATCACATTATTCCTGTTTTCTTCAATGCAAGTTAAAACGTTTTAATTCCCAATCTGCCAAAATAATAAGAACAATGCAGTACAAGGTTCTTCATGAACGTATCCGTGAAAATTACAGATTGTTATCAAAGTTAAAAAAAAATATTTCCCAACAACATCAAAATTTTAAAATAATTTTGACTAAAAAAATTATGAAATAGTTTTACGACTCATTAATAATAATGCCACCAATTACGAAAAAAAAGTGTAACTGATAGGCAATCTAAGAAATTTGAAAGATTGATAAGGACACATAAAAACAAAAATCTGTATCTTCAGGTAAATAGTTTCTACCTCCCTTCCACTACAAGTCGTTTTTAACCTTTCCAGACACCAGTTATACACTGATGAAATTCAGTTCTTAGAAAAATGTTTCAATTGTGCTATTGCACCCAGAAATCTCCCACTACTTGAATTCCAGATAGAATTAGATGACTTTGATAGAAGAATAGCTATTTAGGAACGTTTTAGTTCATCAAATAAACCCACCTCTTCTCAGTCACTTCAAATTCAAAAATTCATGTTAAAAATTCTTCCGACATCATTCATGAAAGTACAAGTAATCAAGATATTTTGTTAAACAACCAAAGCACTCTCCCCCGAAACCTACAGTTATTTATCCTGTCTTTTCCCCAAATTTAAGAAAATAGTCAAGTTTTACCTGTTCTTCATGCTTTTCACGAACTTCACATCTTATAGAGAAACCTTGACTCAGGACCAATCACAGGGGAGGCCAGAAGGGCCATTTGACCTTGGCCTCAAACTCAAAGGGGGCCTTAAATTTAGACATTTGTTTCGTGACTTGTTATTTTTATGTGCCTCTCTTCAAATTATATTTCACTCAATTTTTTTTCGAACCTAATTGTGGTCTTATTTTGTTTTCATCTGTCATCATTTTATATTTTTATTATGGTCAGGAGCATCAAAAGCTGGAAGTGACCCGGGCCTCTCTGAACCCTTAAGAGAGTCTGACTAGACTGGTAAAATCAAATCTGACAAAGGTAATGCTGTTGTCGTCATGGATCAGATAGTATACCAGCAAAAGAGGCACACACTCATCGATGATTCATCTCATTTCCAAAAATTAGAAACTAAATTAACATTTCCAAAGAAAAGGAATTAAAACAATTTATTTTACAGTTAGAAAGAACTCATCAACTTTCTACTGGTATATATAAATTTCTTCGTCTCACAGATTCCTGTACTTCTTAAATTTATGGTCTCCCAGAAACTCACAAACCTGATTTCCCCTTACGTCCTATTGGTTCGACATACAAAGCTTACAACTACAACCTAGGAAAATGTTTCGCTTGAATGTTTTTTTAGATGTTTCCTTCATAAAAATTCTGAAATGTTTATCAAGAAACTATGAGAATTTAGTCACTTTGTCCAATTAGTCACATTTGATGTAAAACGTCTGTTCACTCAAGTTCCTGTTCTTGAAGCGATAAATACTACCCTGGAATGTTACCAAAACTATTCTAATCCTCATTTTTGTCTAAACTTCAATATTATAAGAAAATTGTTTCTTCTTGCAGCTACATCTTCTACTTTCCAGTTTGAAAGTGTGAATTATATCCAAATTGAAGGCCGAGGTATAGGAAATCTTGTAGCTCCAGCACTTATCAATATATTTATGATAAGAAGTGAAGACACTGTCATCTCAAATTCAATTTATAAACCAATTTTTGGGCTTCAACATGTTTATAACATTTTTTCAGTCTTCGATAACCTTAACGTTATTCACGAGTTTTTCTCTCATCTAAACCAGATATACACACACATAAAATTTACGATGGAAAAAGAAGTTGATGACAAATTGTCATTTCAAAATTTTCTCCGTAATTCGTAAGAACACTCACACTGGACTTTATGTTCCTTGGACTTTCCTTCATGACCAATGCCAAAAGCTAGGTATATTAAAAGGTGCTATTTGTACAAATAATAAGTTCCAAAATCGATTGTTTAAAAGAAAGAAAACCTTATATTTCAGTTTTCTATTTAAAATACTTTCCCCTCACACAGTTGTTAATAAAGTAATTGCTTTCTTTGAAAATAAACCACAAATTGACATAGAAAATTATTCTTACGAATATTTCTCTTTATTACCATTCATTCCAAACTTATCTCATGCTATCAAAATATGTAGTTAAAAGCAGCCAGTGAGTTTAAAATTCACAATAAAGTACAATTTACATTTTTACCTGGAAAAAGCTACGTCAACTGCTATCCAAAAACTTATATTGATAATAATGCTTCAGGAAATGTGTATTTAATTAAAGTACGGATTACAAAAGTTGATGTATTGATGAGACAAACAGACAACTTTCTACTCGTTTGCGTGAACATCTAAAATCTCCATCTTATGTTTTTGAAAACGTATCTAGGAACAATCACTCTGTTGATTATTCTTAGGCAAAAATCCTCAGCAGAGAATACAACATTAGCAGACGAAAAATAAAAAAAATTATGGTTCTTTCTAAAATTTATGTTTTTCATAAGTATTTTGCAAAAATAATATATAAGACGCTCATTTAGCTAATACACACAGTATTATATATTTTACACTAAAATTTCCACCAGTATTTATTTGTTTGCTTCTTAAGAGGTGCCCACTTAACATACGAACACTTTGAAGTTTTGAGACAGCTATCTGTGGGATAATAGATTTACTTCTGTACAATGTTTTATTTCTAACAATAAGACAACGTTTGCAGGAACCTTAAATGTTTTTTCTTGACCATGTATCACTATTAGAGAAGAAAGCTGTGCAGAAATAAATCTAATGTCCCACAGATAGCTGTCTCAAAAATTCATTATCTATTGGTGTTCAACTATGCCATTTATCTAAGGTGAACAATAAGTATTTTGTGTATATATTCTTTATGGTTTAATATCTATTCAATTTCATTTTGTGTTACTTCAAATCCAATTGTTTCTGGCACCTACAGTTTTGTAACACTTTATTCACTATATATATATATATATTTACTAGAGTATATTAAAATGATTTAAATTTAAGTTTGCACAAATGCACTGTGTTTGGGCTAGTTAGTTTAAATTTATTTAAACAAATGTGAACAAGATGAGATTAAAGTTTACTCTTTAGTCTCTGATAAAAAGCCTAGTACAGAAATTAGTAAAATGAACATTTTGAGCTACTTTTTTGTACATAAAAATTGAAAAAATTAAAACTTAAAAAGTTGTTTTTCATTCTTTTGTTTATTTACTTGTATTTTGTACAGTTAAATACTTACTTTCAGGAAATTCAATATCAGAGTCTTGATCAACTATTTTCGGACGTTTTCCTTCCTCTGTCTGCCATGCACAAAACCCTTTCTCAAATGTACAAGATAATTCTTCTACAGATGGCGTTCCTGAAAAATGTACCAAAATATATGAATAAAAGTTGATACAATTAAAATAAGGTTTCGTAGCTAAGTTATAAATAAATATGAATTACCGAATTAAAGTCCTAAGTTAATCATCAGGTATAAGGAATTCTGCTATATAATATTTTGAAACTAATTAAAATGAACAAATACAACAGTGAAGTTTTTACTGATACGTACAAATACGTTAAAGTTTTGAAACAAGCGGAATCAGTGTTTTCACTACTTTTTACAAAAACAGCTATGAGAAAATATGGCTCTATTTTAACACACACATATATATATATATATATTAAAATTTCTAAGTAGAAAAGCTATGTTTTCTGTCAGAGTTGTTGACAGATCATGAGGTGATCCAACATTCTACTCAAAATTCCAAACTAAAAGCACCCCAGTGGCACTGCGCCATGCCTGCTTACCTACACCGCTAAAAACAGGGTTTCGATACCCGTGGTGGGTAGAGCACAAATAACCCATTGTGTAGCTTTGTGCTTTATTCCAACTAAACAAAGAAAATAACAAACTAAAATTCTTATTTAAAAAAAATATGAGAAAAACTTTTTTATTATAAATGTATGGGAATGATCATCCTTTGTATGTGATTGTTCTATATTTTGATCAAAACTCATTATTTTATATCTGGTGTTAAAAATTGTTTGAACGTTTTATATGCCAAGAATTTCTCTTTATCTTACTTAAATTTCACGAAACAAATATATATTATTAACATCATAACAGAATGTTATGGTAAATCTTCTATATTACAATTTTGAGAAAATGAACATCAAGTCTCAAATATCAAAATAATGAGTTGCACTGAATTTTTTGAATGAGTTACTCTTCAAATGTTGTACTTTCTTTTTATCACCCTAGGTCTCTCAACCTACACAGTACTTTAGTTTTAACGGTGACAATTAAATGTTTTGGATTAAAGGACTTTTAGCTACATCTATGCAAAGTCAATACGCAAATAATTTGGCTATAGTGAAATAAAATGTTTATATTCAATATTTCTTTCATTCACAAAACGATAAAATTCTGTTTCTGTGTAGAAGAAGTTTCACTTCGATGAATAACGTCGTTTGAGGTGGAAAAGTAAATAATCTATATGAACAAAATTCATAGAATGCAATCATATTTATTTCTGTAATGCGTTTTGTGAAATTAAAAAAAGATTTTGACTCATTAAATAAAATGTATATAATCGGACCTTAAAATAATGTGTTTGTAGTTAAACACAAAGCTACATAATGGGCCCACTACGGGTACTGAAACCATATTTTAGCGTTGTAAGATCGCAGCCACTCCGATAAGCCACTAGGGAGCATTCATAATAATGATTATTATTATGAATTGGCATTTGATAATTAACTCGACGTAAATAAGAAACTGAGACATTCAAATACTAGTGATAAATCTTAGATACAGCAATATTAAAACAACATAATATTTTTTTTTTGGCTTACATTATTCTGAGATACTAGTAAATCTCTAAAATTAACATAACTACACAAAAGTAATGAACATTAATTGGAAACTATCCGTTGAAAGTAATGAAAATAATTTATTAACACAAACATAATATTGTAATAGTTGAATAATCCTCCTGTATTCTAATAATATTCCTCAAATATATATAAAAGTTACGTGAAACATACCAATAACATACCAAAAATATATAAAAGTTACGTGAAACATACCAATAATTTCAAACTTTAATCCTCTTTTTCTTTCTTTTTTTTTGCGAGTTATTCAGTTGAATTTCCTTTCTGAACAATCATTAATAATACACATACTCTTAGGAACATCTTTCGATTTTTACATAACGTGCAAAGTAATAGATTTTGTAATATTTGTTAAAATAAAACATTTAACAACATACAAGTCTAGTATAATTTAACAGTTAAAATTATGTTTAGCTTTCTCATCATGCGTTCTTAAAACGCATGGATTTCGGCACTAGGGCACAAGTTTCAAGTTCAAAATCATTATTACTGATTACATAGATGCAACAGGTACGGGTTTAAAAATGCCTTCTGTCCGTGTTAACAACCATGAAAAAATAATAGTCAGAAGAATACGCATTATCCTGCAAAGCTTTATATTCTTAAAAGTATGTTGTTGTTTTTTTCACAGTCCTTGCCGTTGAGCCGATGGCAGATTTTGCTTTGCCATCGTTTTTAAAGCTATTTCTTACGTCAAGGATGCAACCCACTTGACAGCCTTCCCTCTTTGAAAGGACGAGCATGTTTGGTGTGACGGGGGTTCGAACCCGCGACCCTCAGATTGCGAGTCGAGCGCCTTAACCACCTGGCCATGCCGTGTTTTGATATTCACACGGCCATCCTATATTCACATAGGAATTTAAAAATACGCAGAATTTAGTGACACTACTTTATTCTTGTGAAATATTCGGTTGATAAGCCGCTTGAAACAATAAAATTTCAATGAACAGTATTTCATTTTCAATCATTAAGAATCTAAGCATATGACCAAATAAAACAAAGTAATCTTATTTTTTAGATATTGAATATTTCATAGCAATGGTAAATTTAAAATATATATCTCTTTGTAAAGTATTCATACGTTCCTATTTTTATTTTAATACAATAATTATTCCAGAAATCCATGGCTAGGTTGTTGATTTATCATGCTTTTGACATCGCAAAAATGTATTGGGGAAAATTATTTTCCAATTTACATCATAAGTATATTATATATATATAAGTACTTGAATAAACATAACATTTTAAGATACACTACAGTGCCATGTTCTGAAATCATCTACGTCATTAGTATTACTGTAAATTGGTAAACAAGCTCAATATGTAAAGCAACAAAGGCTAATCTCGTTCACAAACCTTATCCTCCAGACAACACAAATGCATTTTCAAACCTGTGTTTTTAACTTATTCACAGGCAGATGTCGCTTCACGTTGATCCTATTAAGAATGAGCTTCCTCGACTATATAAACAACGTTTATTATAGATAACTAAATAACAGATATTGAAATTGTCTAAAAACTTTGTGTATCAAGTTGTTTTAAAAGTCATCTCACTTTTGTATTAACAAATAACGTGATTTTCAAGGTACATATTTACATCTAGACATTTCACTCAGATCATCAAGGTATTTGGTCTTTATTGGTATACCAACTGTTCAGACAAAGCTGAGAGTACATGTCATGTTTTTTACAGGTTTTTCTTTTTCGGTTCTATATAAAATACAGTTATTTACTTTGTGAGAAGATTAGAAACAGATACTGGGTGTCAAGTAAGCATTATAATGGCACCAGCTACTAGTGATAAACAGAACAATGTTAGTAGGCAGCAACTGAAAAATACAGATATTTTAATATTTAACACAGGAGCTAGACTCACAAAGTACTCTGGTAATTACTTATCAATTAAAGGGAAATTCACAATGAAGTGTTTGAATAAAGATATCAACTTCCTTTTTTCCGAAAACAGATCAGACACCCTTATTAGCATTTACAGCTTCACAGAACTTAAATTTCATCCACGTAGTAATGAGCTTAAAGGCTAATGAAATCATCAAGCAATTTCCCACTGTGTGTAGTGAATTAGAATGTCTGAAAAAAAAAAAAACATATAACACAAAGACTAATCATTCAGTTCTATCAGTGGTAATTCCTCTGAGGAAATTCACTTTAGAAGATATTATGAACAAATGACTGAAGCTAACCAGGGCTAATGGCAAATACTCTTAAATGAAAACAGGCAGCTACTCACTATATTTGTTACATTCTTTGTTCCTGCACATGTCTTTTGGAAAAAAATTGGTAAGGAAAATTTTCAAACTTGCATTGTACAACCTTTTGAAGAGATTTTTGGAGTTAACACAAGTTCACACCCAAGAAGGATAGATGTTGAGCATAAGTTAACAGTAGACGGTGTCAAACCAGATTTAAACACAGTCAGGAACGAATATAACTCAAGAAACGTGTATAATAAGTTTATGAAATCATTCCACTCAGACAGTAAGTGTTCCGTTTCTGGTTTAGTTGTTAAGAATAATAAATCATCTTGTAGCAGATCCACACCACATAGGAAGTTGTTACTATTATTAACATCAATATTACCAACTACAAATTCAAATATATGCTACTGATAATGGACTAAACATTCTGAGTACTATACAACTTGACAGTTTTTCTTCAAACATTGCTTGCCGAAACCATACAATGAAGACTGAGAGCATAACGTTTAATATGTAATCAAGTACAATTACATCAAAAACTAGTCACTGTTCTGAAGGAAAAACCACAAAATGAACAGAAAAAATAGTTAATACCAGGTTCTTTCTATATTTGTGGTTGTTTTTAATATTTTATTATTTTTATTCATGGATTAAGATGGAAATTGGTTAACGTCAGAAGTATACTATGCAATAAATTCATCATATCATATGTTTAGGCTGTTGTTTTTAAGGTTGATTGTGCAAAAATTAAGTCATCATTAACACATTTTAGAATGTTATTGTGAATATAACTGTCAATATTAATTAGATAGGAACATAAACTCTGTCAATTGTATGTTATCATTACGTTTAGTTGATAGGTAGAGTCCATTAAAGCATTATATACTTGTTTGTCGTAAAAGCAACGAAGCGTTCTGTGTGGATTTGTAGTAGTAATAAACGGTGAGATCGTTCTGTGACAAGTATTCCTTCATGTGAAAGAGGTATAATGACCTCACATCCCGCCATTTCATCACTGATATTAAAGCCACTATCCGCCAAGGCAATGTCATCAACCTCAAGCCTGTCATGAAAAATCAAATAAAGGAACATACCTTAGTCAGTTCTTTATTCGATATATTTCAACCATCACAATGTGACACAAATTAAACAACGCTACTTGGTGTTATTTCAAATAGAAAATTCACAATACTGTGTTTCTGATAGTTAGAATTAGTTTCATATTCGGTAGCTCTACAAACATCTAATCCAAAACACCTTAGGT